CATAAATCGTTGAGTGAGGGGTGAAAACTTAGGTAATCTTTCCTTATCAGTTCAATCCATTACGCGCGTGCACAAGGCGGAAGTATCACTTTTCCCAATATTTATATTAGAAATGGAAGATAATGTTGTTATAAGAAGATATTTGAAAATTTCTGTCCATTATTACACAATAGTTTTTTATATCATGTAAGGGCCTTTATTTTGATAATTAATCTTGATACTTTCGCGACTTATGAGGCAAGTCAATCTGACTTAATATGCATCACATTACAGTATTTGAAGATTAACTCAGTACATTGTTAAACTTGCTGTCTGTCTTAAGATAATGCAACAATGAAAAATGTTTGTGATAGGAAATTATTATAAAAAAGATTTAAGCATGACAAAAACTTAATTATATAGTTTGATACATAATTATTTTCTTTGAATTATAATTTAATATTTAATTTTTCTTAATTCCTGACCATTTTCTTTTAATTCTTGTAATCGTAATTTTATTATTTTCCTTTTGTGTGAGACAAAACAAAATTTAAAGCTCATATACGAGGGTCACTGTGAAGTTGTTGAGATACGCATAAGTTTTTAAAGTTATACTTATGAAATTTTAGGAGTGTGCAGTGTATATATCTGCCAACATTAGAAAATTGCAGCAGTTCAGAGCAGTATATAATGAAGATCCAAGCAGTTTCAATATGTATAATTGATAACAGAATATAAAAATTAATTGAAATTTTTACCACTTAATTTCAAAACATTTTTGTCCTAAATAATACCAACAGATATCTGGGAGCAGTTACAAAATTTTTAGATTTATTTATAAACCAGTGATCTCAGCTTTCATTTTTGATGTAAACAGTTTTGCTCATCTGATTTATAAATTTCGTTACACAGAACAATGCTTTACAAGTTAGAGAGAAAATGGTATAATGGAATTTAAAATTTATCTTATAAATATGGTAGAATGCTTAATACAATTCCTAAAGTAAAAACACAACAGAAAAAATTTTCATTTTAATCAAATGAATTTCAAAGAGAATTTAATGAATTAAAAAAAAATAAAATGACATCCCCCTTTTTTCCTCAATTTAAAGCACTGGATTTCATTAATAAGTTCTTTTCAATTCAACTTTTATCTTTATATATTGCTGAAGAATTGCTTCCTCAGTTTACTTCCGAATATTTTTAAATCACTTTTTAAATTTTGGTCTCTATAATAATAATTGATCAAAGTCTGAGGCAGAATATGCTAAATTTTGCAGAAATTGATAATACAGTCCAAAGTCATTAATTCGGACACCCATAATCCGGAATGATCTATAATCCGGACCTCAAAGCTACAAACTTTCTGCGCATGCGTCGCGTTCACGCATGCGCACAGGCGTTTACGAGAGCACGTAAGACCCTTACGGCTGCGAATGTGTTTGTGCGCATGCGCGTTTAAATTGTAACGGAGTTATACGCTAAGCTAAAGTTACCTAATTCAGTTAATGTTGCCGATTGCGTTGTTCCTTAATCTTCGAATTGGATCCGGCTTATTATTTTTTGCAGACTGTTAGAGCAATTTTATAAAAGTAAGCTTGAACTGTCGATTATGTCAAATAGAATTTCCGATATATATTTACTACAAAGCGAAAGTATGTTTTGAAATCCGAAATCTGTTTATCAATTTCACGCTGCTCTGAGGCAGAAGGGGGGGCAGAAACGTCATTATTAGATTATGATAGATTAGAAAGATTATGTCAAATAGAATTTCTCATATATATTTACTAATATGTAATTTGTATCTACAAAGCGAAAGTATGTTTTGAGATCCAAAATCTGTTTATCAATTTCACGCAGCGGATTGGAAGTTGATCTGTCAGCACTATCCTTATCTTCAGGGCAGATGTTTTTATTTTATTTGGTTTATAATTCCATACTAAGTGTAGTATTTCATTCTGTCTTTGATATGGTTTAAATCAAGTTCCTCGTCATTATAATTCTCTTGGGATAGTGAAGAAAGTGACCCAGAGGTTATTGAAAACGAAAACATTTCGTTTGACAAATTAGTCGGTATTCTCAACACAGCAATTATAGGACTTGAACAGCGGAACTTTGTAACTAACAAGAAATTATGTCTGTTTAAGAATTAAAGAGAAAGTATTATCACATGAAACGAAGCAAGAAACTACATTGAAGGAAATGTTTAATAAAGTAAACAAATAAATATTAAGCTTTTCTTTTTGTAAATTTTGATACCCTTTAGATCATAATTGTTCTTTATTTCATAAATTACGGTTTCATACTTTTAATTTTGTAATTTCTGCATGCCATCTTACCAGATTTAAACTGATGATCTATGATCCGGAAAAATCGATAATCCGAATCGCCGAAGTCCCGACGAGTCCGGATTAAGACTTTTGACTGTTTCTGTTCTGACATTTCATAGGCAATTTGGCATAACATCTATCATAATCTAATAATGACGTTTCTGCCCCCCCCCCTTCTGCCTCAGAGCAGCGTGAAATTGATAACAGATTTCGGATTTCAAAATACTTTCGCTTTGTAGTAAATATATATCGGAAATTCTATTTGACATAATCGACAGTTCAAGCTTACTTTTATAAAATTGCTCTAACAGTCTGCAAAAAATAATAAGCCGGATCCAAGTCACTTTGAAAATTTTGAGATACATATACGTTTTTACAGTTATAGTTATGAAATTTTAGGAGAGTTCAAAGCAGTCTCCTCCAGCATCGATCCACATCTGTAGGCAAATTTGCCCAAGATTAAATGCATCAAACCATTCATTTCTTGGAATCAATGAAAAAAATGCATTTATAACTTCATCATTGTCATGTTTGGAATGAAAACAACATCAATGTAAGGTCTCTTTTAGATTAAAAAATTGCCAAAAGAAGCACATAGCTAGGCCGGATGAATGGGGTGGATGTTTTATCACTTTGATGTGTTTTCGTTCAACAAACTCAACTGTCAATCTTGCTGAATGAGATGATGGATTGTCATGGTGGAGCATGAGCCCTCTAACGTTCACTGCTTGAAGAAATTCTGGAAGACACTTAGTGGTATACAAGTTAGCTGTGACTGTCTTCTGTCCTTCCAGCTTGTTGGCTTCGACCAGTCCTGTACTTCTGAAGGAAGCAACATACATTACTTATTCATGATACATTGTGTTTTCACCATTGTGGACATGGGATCATCTTCAAAGATCCGTACTTCACTTTCTTGACGTATTGGAACGTTAAAAAATGGTATGTCCGTTTTTTCACCAGTTAAGATTATAGAAGTAATATGATGGCCATCATTTTTTAAGTAATTTAAAGGTTTCTTTTCTGATTCTGACATGCTCCTCCTTTTTGATGCTCAGTTAAATTATGGGGAACCCAACAGCAAACTAGTTTTTTTATATGCTATTCATGATGAATAATTTTATGTATGGCAGCATATCCAATGTAAGTTCCTTTTGTATCATTTGGTAGGTTCAGCAATTATCATCAATTAACATTTTCTGTATGGCAGACACATTATCTGAGATTACTGCTGACAATGGCCTTCCTGTGGGTTCATCCTGAAGAGAGTTGCAACCTCTGTGAAATGCTGTAAACCATCTGAATGCAGTAGCATTAGATGGACTTTTATTTCCAAATACTAACTCTAGACGTTGAACTCATTCTTCTTGATTTAACCATAGAAAACTATGGTGCAGTAATGTGCACCATTTTTCCTTCAACATCATCTCCATTTTTCCTTCTGCCCAAAATGTATTCTGTGCTAAACTACTTTCAGTTGGCCCATAAAAAAATCTATCGCTAGCCTAAAATAGTTTTTTTTTTCCCAAGTCTAACTATTAATTTTTTTTCTGCTACTTATCATATGTGTGTATATCAAAAATTTTAGAGTGCCCCCTCGTATATGTAATATTGCATAAAAATTTATAAACTTTTTCTAATTTCTGCTTATTTTTGTAGATCATGCAGTTTTATGTATCATTGGTAATATACTAGGTGGTGAAATGGTCATAAAAGGAAAACTACTGGACCAAATGTTATCACGGAATAATATTGTTAGTCATGTAAAGAAGGTCACAGAAATTTATTTTCCACTAAACTCACCACCGGAGGGGGGAGTGGCGCTTTATGCAATATAGTTAAAGGAAATAAGGGTTGGAATCTAACTTAACCTTCTTTTATGCAGGTTTAATATGTTGTATATTTATAAAGAACATTAACCTAAACAAAATTACCATTTAAAGGTGATACAAGTCAAGTGCACCATCTGTGTAATGGAGAAATCCATCATGAAAACCACAAATTAGCGATTAGAAAATGTGAAATTGCAAATCACTCGCAAAAGTGTGCACATCAGATCGCTCATTTGTGATTTTTGAAGCCTGAATTCAGCCCTAAGACATGAAGATATCAGTTTAAATTATTTTTAATTGTTTCTAAAACAAAACTTTTTGTGGGGTTATGCAAAAATGCAGTGGCTTTTAATTGGCTTATGGCAGGAAGAAGCAAATGATTTATGCAAATAATCTAAACAATTTGGCGGAATTGAAAGATGCGTACACCGACATGTCTGTAATATTTCTCCTGATATCCTAAGAGCTGCTGTTGAGAATTAAGTAATACAATTTAACTTGCTTTCAGAAAATGGTGGATGCCACATTGAACATGCTTTGTAATACATTTCAGAAATGATTAAAATGATTAAACACATATTAAACTGATGTCTTCATGTTTTATTTCGCTTAACAATATTGCATACAGCGCCATTTTTGCTCTGGAGGTGAGTTTTTAACTTTTTTTTATTTTTCGCAGAAAATAAATTCTTATGACCTCCTCTACATGATTACCAAGTTTGATAACATTTAGTTCACTAGTTTTCCTTTTATGACCATTTCAGTGTGAAACTTTTAATCATAACCACCCTGTATTTTACTGTAATGCACTTGTAGTAATGCTACAAGCAATGTATCATATTTTTTTTTTCTTTTACAGGTTCTCAGCATTTGAAAAACTGCAGGATGAAAATATGAAACTTTTAAAAAATTATCGAAGAAGATTAGAGATGACTAATGATAAATGTACAAAAACAAATTTGGTACAGTCATTCCTTTTAACATAAATTTAGGAGTTTTTATTATTTATACTAAGCATTTTTCGTTAGTTATAATTAATTAACTATTAGATCTCTGTTATATATAAAAATATTATGTGAAAGCTTAATTAATAATTGAATATTTTCTATTCATTCTTAAGAATGTAAGCACTAGTTAAATGTTAAGTTACAAATTATGTACGTTTTATTTTAGTCAAATTATAGATTATTATCCATTTAATATACAATTAATAGCCTTTGTTAAATTTTTAATTTACTGCTATTGTCAAAAGTTTCAATAGTCAGTATTATTTTTAATATTTTATTATTGTAAGTTGTCCTTGATTTTGATCACCCTTCTTAAGTGGTTTTTGATCACCTTTGACCACCCCTATACATGAACACACATGCATGCATTCATACATTTCTGAACTCAGTCCTGATGACAGAACAGTACTTTTGTAACTTTGTCCAGTTGAAAATTTGCTTTTTTATTTAGTTCGTTCTACTGCAAAATTTTGTGACTGTGAGATGTAAAAAGCAGACATATTTTGTAAATATCATGTCAAGCTTTGAAATTTAATAATTTTCATGTGTATGACATAAATTCTTTTTTTTAACATTAAAGTTGAAGAGTTCTTTCCCCACCCCCATGAATTGTGTGATATTTAAAAATTAATTCTTTGCATATTTTTTCAGAAATTAGAGTTTGAGAGAAGGCTGGCTGAAAATGCTATTCTTGCAAAGAAAAAATATGATATAGTATCCTTTATTATACTGGCAAAACTTTTGTAAATATGTTCTGCTCTTAAATGTGACTGATGCATATCAGAAGTGAATGATAGTGAAAAAAAAAATGTTAATAAAATTTAGAGGTAATAGAAATTCTGTAATTTGCATAAAACAATAGTAAATATTCAATATGTTAAAATTTCTTACAGTACAGTAGGTTCTCTTTTAACTGCTTACTGTGGAATCAGGCACTTGACCAGGTAATAAAATCGATAGTTAAATTTTGTAGAATAGTAATTAAATTTAATAAAATAAATTAAATTTTGTAGTAAACATTTTGTAGGGTACATCTTTAAAAATGTATATTGAAAGATGTTAAATACATTCTAGAAAATATTGATTATTTTCCTCCCTTCCATCATCATTTTAAAAGTGAAATCTCATCCTTTCTTCATATTATATCATGAACATTTTAACAACTGTCATGCCTTCTTTCAGTTGCTTAAGCAAAGGAAAACCGACCAACTCCATTTCTGCCATTGGCAGTGGCTGGGATAATTTTATCACTTTTTTCTTCCTGAATTATTTTGTCCTTTTTGATGGCTTTGCCACTAACTTTTTGAACAATTATATTTAGAGATTTATATTGTACATCTTCAGTGAGACTATTTTAATGAGAAAACTTCCACAAATCATTGAGCAGGCTGTGGTTGTCATTTATTTCAAATACCTCTCTATGATTGTGTTCAGTTGTAGCATTATCTCCTTTAATTTTTCAGTTTTCTTTTTTGCATTTGGCCAGAGATTTCTCCAAGCTTTTACAAATATAGAGACAGTTCTTCATATGCCATAGCTACTATAAAGATGATGTATATAATCCCTATAATGCCCCCCCAGGGGTCGACGTAGAGAATTCTGCGAAGCTACTGGCTAGGATCTGTACCCAGGCAGTCTCGGCCACGGGGGTATAAAATTTATGAACTTGGTGGTTCTGAAGGCTCTGGGAAAGGTCACTTATTGGCCGGCCTCGGAGTCTGGCACGTCCTAGCGCGGCGTGGTTCTAGTAACCCGGGGGGTCTCCCCCGGGGTCGTTGGGTAATGTCCCGCTGCGACGGGCTCGCCCAAGCGACTGGTAGGAGCATTAGACGACCGGTGCTGCCTGGGCCTGACCCCAGGTGGTGCGCTGCTCTCCTGAAGGGTAATAGTGGAGGTTGAACCTCCATGACGTGCCCAAAGGGAGAGTGGACCTGTAGTGGGCTTAGTTCCCGGAACAGGGCAGCCAAAATCCTATCCCTATAATGCAGTACTAAATCCAAATGTTCAGCATCTGAAGTGGTGTAACATCCAAACTGCTAGCCCCACTCAAAAAAAAAAAAAAAAAAAAAGGATATATATATATATTTAATGAAGAAAACTTAGATGTAATGATGTAGAAGCACTAATACACTAATAGCATAAATTTGCAAATACAGCATTTTATAAATGTTAATCCAGTTTTGAAGGAAAGTTTTATTTTGGGCAGATAATAGCATACAGTGCTGCTCTGGTAAACCTTGAGTGAGCAACTCAATTAGAATCTAATCTCTTAATTTCAGCACTGATCCTAATTTTAGTTTCTGTATAAAATACTTATCTATGAGGGCTATTCACACTTACGTAACTTACGTTTTGCTGCTGTGTGGCAAGAGATAGTGCTAGTATCCCCATCTTGGTTTCAGAGTGCATATTGAATCCTTATGCATCCAGTTGTAATTGTTGACAGCACATATTGCCCTTGCTTTGTTTACTGTGAATGTTTAAAATATGTGGAGCAATAGAAAATTCTGCCAGTTGTGAAGATTAGATCAGTGATTAGATTTTTGTTCGCAAAAGAACTGAGGACAATTGAAATTTATCGGGAACTTGCCAGAGTGAGACAATGTTGCATCATGTTTAAAAATAGCTACACAGATTTTCATGAGGAAGCGTGAAGTGGCCAGCTGAGCATTGTTAATGCTGAACTCATAGAGAAAATCTATGAAAAGATTCACAAAATCCACCACTTCATAATTTCAGAGCTCTCACTAGAATTTTCTTAAATTTCACGAAATTTGTTGTTTGGTATTGTGATGCAAGATCTAGGCTATCACAAGTTTTGTGCCAGATGGGTACTAAAATTCTTGTCAGAAGATCACAAAAAGAAGAGCATGGCAGCAGCTTGGACATTTCTCGAGGCGTACGACAAACAGTGAATCACATCTCAGTTGTGTCGTAGCAGGAGAGGAGACTTTGGTGAAGTTCGTCACTTGTGAGACACTTATCTGTGCCTGGTATGTAACACAGAACTTCAGCGATGACGAGGAACTGCATGAAGACGTTCGTGCATGGTTGAAGTCTCAGACAGCAACATTGTATAATAATGAAATGAACAAGCTGGTGTACCATTATGAAAAGCGTCTTAATTTATATAGAGATTATGTAGAAAAATAGCTGAATAATGTGCCTTTCAAATGTAAGTAATAAAAAATTTTTACTTTTATTTATTTTTTTTTTATTCTAAAATGTAAGTTACTTTCTGAATAGCCTACATATATATCTTTATATTATCTATGTAGGTGATTGAGACAAATTCATCAAAGTTAACATGTTCAGAACTTGAAAAAATATGCTAGAATTTATCTTCTAACAAATCTAGTTATCTATTTTGACATACTTGTGAAGGCAGAATGTCAGTACTTCTTTTGGATGATTTGGAAATAAAGCTAATTTTTCTTTTTCAGAAAGGTTTTTAAACTACATCATTTATCAAAGAACATAAAATATTTGTCAATTGGATAAGCTTTAGTTCCATCAAATACTGCACATGTAAATTTATCTCTATCACAGAAACAATTTCAGATTGTCAAAGGTCCATTATGGATTGAGATCTTAGTTCCATTTAGAATTTTGTTAAAATTAATAAATCCTGTGCTTAAAAAATAGAGAAACAATATAAAACCATTATAAATAAATCATAAAATACAAAATTATTTCATAGAAATGAAAAAAATATATATATACATTATTTGCAAAACCCTTATTAAATTAGTAAATTTTCCCTTTAATTAATGATAATTTGTATAATCTTCTTGATGTTAATTGTTTTCTTTTCTTTTTAATGTTGGGAGGGGGAAACACGAAATTAGCTTTACTTTTTGAAAAATATGAACACTTTTGATGATGCACTGACATCACATTCATTATTTTAAATTTGTGAAACAAAATATTTAATCACGCTTCAATACCAGTTTCAGGATGACAAACAAAATGCAGTGCTAAATACACTGGCAATTTAAAGCACAAATGTTTTTCTGCACACAGCACTGTAGAGACATAATAACCATAAACTAGTTTACATTATTGATCGCAAATAGTAAATGTGCATGGGGATTGTTGCTTCCAAATGACCTGCAAATCATTCTTTCCTTTTGAAACTCTTCCGGTGACACGCTGAATTCGACATATCCGGGATGACATGACTTTCGGGATATCTTTCATTTTTGAACTTGCAGATACTTTTCCATTGGGGTCAGCCACATAAATAAAGTTAAAATTAAATTGGAATAAAGCAAGGCAATTCCTTAACAATATTAATAATTGCAACTGTGGATAAGATGTTTAACACTATATCTAAGCATACAAAATAAGAATTCATCAGTAGAACAAACTCGAAAAATAACATTGTGAAGAGAAAAAAATATACAAAATTATAAAAATTAATCTCCTTTTACTGAAACTCTAATTCAGAACTCATCAGGGGAAAATGAATTAAAGTTTCATAAAAGTAAATTAATATGTTTTGAAAATATGTTTCATTCTTCTAGTTCTTTTGAGATCAAAAACCAAAAAATGATTCAATTAAATTTTCAATTGAGACATTAAAATTCATTCAGAATTGAAAAATCAAATCTCGAGTGTTTCCAGAATTTTCCCTACGGGCTTTCGAAACACTTGGAAAAAAAGAAAACATAACATTGTTCCAAATTGACTACTCAAAAAAACAATAAAACTTCACATTCTGCAAATTGACCATTCAAAAACAATTACAAATTAAAGAGCAAAACAAATATAAAATCAAACTGTCATTTAAACAACACTCAAAAATTGGGTGGTCCCCGATTATGCGATCCTAAGCCTTTAATACCGAAAAAAAAAAAAAAACTTTACAGAAGAGATTTTTATAAATATATAAAATCTAATCTCATCCTTAAACAGCTAAAAACTGAAAACCTATTTGAAACAAAAATTGAACAAAAGGTAAACTTACTGAATTCTTAAGACAACCATATTTTTCCAAACGTTGTTCCTTGTAAAAGAAAGGTGAATTCAAGACTACTCTGCAGAAGCAAAAATTTGTAATTCTTGGAAAAAGTATGCAATAAGATTCAAAGTGTCCAATAGCAGAACAAAGTATTTTAATGCGTGTTTAAAATGTCTTATCCTGATAATCTTTGTGTATGGGGGTGCAAAATGTTGAGTGCGGCCTGTAAAAATGATTATCGAGAAAGGAAGATGATTGTCAACTCCAACACGGTGGCTGAAGAAACTTCTAAAAGTTGCTGTTCTCTGAAATATCTTAAAATGCAAAAACAAAACTGGTTTAAAATTGAGGAAAAAGGAAAAATGCACGCTACAAAAGATAAAAGTCTTCATATAATTGGGGTACAATACGTCATTGAAACTAGAAGCCCCATTTTTTTTTAGTAAAAGCAAAATGTGAGAGTTTTTTAAATTTACAAAATAGTAGAAAGATAGTATAAATAATAATTAAAAGGGAAAGAAAGAAGATCTTTGTACATATCTGCAGTATATTCGCTGTAGTTTTAATTTTTTGAATTTTTGCTATGGTGTTCTTTCTATGTAACTGCGCTGTGGAATTTGATAAGTAACTTCACTAACCTGATTAAAAAAGAACTCCATAGTGCAGTCTATGGCAAATACACCGCAAAGACTGCATAATCTATGGCGAATATGCTGGAAAGACGTTTCACTGCAATTCTTCAAAAACTTAA